TGCATTACGCAAGAGCAAAAATCTCTCATCAGCTACTCCTGACCCACCTACTTCTCTAATGTTCCGCGGAAATCTACACATACTCGTCCAACTTCACAAAATACGACAAAGAAGACCCCTCCATCACCATGCTGGCATTGTGGCGCGTGGCACTTTGTAAAGTCTTGTCCATACAAAAATCATCGTTGCAGCAAGTGCAAGATCATCGGTCACAAAAATGGTTTTTGTCAGCCACGCAAACCCAGATATCATAATCCAGCAAAAGCTCAACAAAATGTCGGTCCTAAATCTCCAAAAAGATCACTGAGTCTACGTGCAACCTGTCAAGTCACAACACCAGCTATGCGGAAATATATTGACCTTCAGATGAATGGTCATGATACTCGTCTGCAGCTAGATACCGCCTCTGATATTACTGTTATATCAGAGAAACTTTGGAATTATATTGGCAGACCACCTATCACCAATACTTCCCAGTCTCTTGTCAGCGCCTGTGGTGGGCGGCTCAAACTAATTGGTGAACTCAAATGTTCTGTTTCCTTCCGCAATACCAAATTCACAGGAATTTGTTACGTCACGAAGAATGATTTAAATGTTTTGGGACTTGATTGGTTCGATCGTTTGCATCTGGCTGATGTCCCACTAAATTCTCTACGCAATACAGTGAAGAAGCATAAAATGCTAGACAATTCCGGACGGAGCCGAAGCCGCAAACCCAACAATCAGACGAAACGACAGGCGTCAACAACAAGCCCAAAGGTCCCAGATAAACCCCCAGGTAAACATCCTACTAATCATTCATCTTCTCAAAAGGGGAGGTGATATGTATCCACATATATATTTATGTGTGTGTGTGTGCATGTTGGTCTCTCTTTCTGTTTGCTCGGTTAGTCTGTGACCACTTCACTTGTATGGACTTGTCTCCTTTAATAATGTGTATTCTCCTTATATTATATTATATATAATATGAGTGTTTGTTGACAGTCCGTTGCTTGGTGACATATATCCATATATGTTTGTTGGCATGTCTGCTATATTCGCTATGTATAATTGGATCGACACTCCATTATAATTAGCCATTCATGTTAAGACTGTCTAATGATTTTTCCCACGCTTGTCTGAATTATTTATATATATTCGCATTCACAATTTGTGTGAACTACTTTACTTTACAACTACTTGACTTGCTTACCACTTTGGTGTGAGACCATTTATTTTCGTCTCCTTGTGTTTGGACAATAGAAGTATCATCGCAAACCTAGTGGTCTTCTGATTTCCGCCTTCTCGCGTCAGGACTATTAGTTTCTCGACCAGTCCATAACAATAATTCAGCGACGAGTACATAACAGAGGGAATGGTGGATTGGACACAAGCTGAGGTAATCGTTGAGTGACATTATACGCCAGTGAGGTCGTCGAGTAGAAGCCTTATGGGAAAGGACAAGTTAGGCATATACCTGAGAGTAACTAGAAGAAGATCATAGAATAATAATAATAATTTGCTTTATTCCAGAAACAGTTCTTGTGGTACAGTGTGGAATTTTTAGCACATATCTACAATTTTGCATCTAATTTCATCGCACATTTAAAAGGAGTATTACAAAAAATAAGTAAATATAAAAAAAACAGTAAAAAGCCAAAAAAGAAACAGAAATAACAAAAGACAAAAGAAAAAATGCAAATAAAAATACCAAGTAGAATGGAAGATAAACACCAATGATGAAAAAATATTTCAGTACTGGGTAGTGGAAGCTATGATATGTGTATGCGTGGTGAACAGTGACAGCTATAATCATACAAGAAATTATTGAGATGTTCCTAAGAATGTTTATAGCCAAGATGATCAGTTAATTTGATTGAACAACACTAAACAATCATAAAATAAACATTTCAGGTTGTGTTTTTTTATTGTCAGCACTAATGCAGTGTTTGTAGTGGTAGTGTGAGTAATCATGCATAATACAAAATTTTTAAGATGGTGATAGTGGCGTTCACAAATAAGATTGTCAGTTAAATAGTGCCGAACAAAGAACACCAAAAAAAATTAATATTACATGATGGTTAGTGACGGGATAGTTTTGTAATAATCATAGTGATAATATAGTCGGACCCAGTAAATATACAAAAGAAGGAATAGAGTAAAGTACAAAAAAGTAGGTCAATGATAATAATATTAAGTAGCTAAGTATGTTTAAGAAGGTTGTTCACTATAGAGTACAAATAAGAGAGTATAAGGGAGAGATAAAAGGGCCAAAATTATGTTATTAACAACAAAGCAAGTCATAGGTTTCGCGCTCAACATTGTCTTTGATTAAAATTAAAGGTTGTACGTAGTAGTGCAGTCATCTGAAAGTGATGGTAGAGTGAAGTTGAGATGTGCGTTGGAAAGCCTATGTTTCACTCGAAACACAATGAATGATTGAATGAGCAATAATGATAGAAGCATCAACACTAATAATAGTTACCCAGATTGGTTTTTAACTGTTCATATCAATCAGTGATATATACCACTATCAAAATTTAAGCATACATAGACATTTTTTTCAAAATAATATTCACTTTACTAATAATCACTTAGATGATTACTAAAATAAGTCTTCTGTTTGCAAAAATTCCTGTTGTATCAGAAACTTGCTTTATATTAATTAGTAATATCAGAAATTGTAGTCTAATCTACCACCTTGACAATGCCATCTTCAGCACATTGCTTTAAATACATTTGATTCACTAGTATTCACATTTGTGATCATTAAGTCAAATTTGCAGGAGATACGTTTCCAGAACTTAAATCAAAATTATGAACTACTAACTCATTGAGATTTCCATAATTGAAGATAACATGTTTTGAATCATCATAGAATAACACTATAGCAATATGGTTTTTACCCTACAACAGCAACAAAGTCCTACTATGATAGCAGAAACCAAGACAGACGGGAGCTAAGGTATATTATCAAGTGATCAAACAGTTATTCATACGTAAACAGTTTATATTCGTTAACCAATCAGTGAGAGTGTGATTTTGGTTTACTTTAAACGACATGAAATAGATTGTTCAAATACTGCATATAGTATTATTTTGCTAATTCGTATTGAACTGTGAGAATATGTAAGAATAATATTTCGTTGGAACACATTATCTGTATCACACTACTACATGTGATGATTTTTCAAATTCAAATGATTTAATTTATAATTTAAAGCAATTAGTTGTCAAAATTTAATTTATAGTTCCTGATAGTTGTATGAAAAGACAGCTGACTAAATGTACCAACCTGCAAGGAAAGATATACTACGTAATATAAGCTTATTTGGATTCTCGAAACCTATGCATGACTGAAAACTCATATGCAAAAATCATATTTGTAAAATCTAAGCCAAATTGAAATGAGTAATTCCAACGCTTCGTTCGACAAAGTGGATCGAACTTCATCAGGAAAATTAATCGAAATTAGAATAAAAAAGATTTATTCTTAAAAAATACATCTCTTGTTTTTTTTTTAATACTTCAGATAAAGCAATAAGAAAACGTAATTTGTCTGAATCGTGTAATGTATTTGCGAAACACATTTCGAACCATCTGATCACACGCCGACTTGTCATAGGAATATATATGAAATTAATAAAGAGTTAAGAAGTGAGAAAACAGACTTAGGTCAAGTTAAAAGGACATATTGAAGGTTAAAATAACAGTGAAGACCACTAAACCAAATACCAGAAGTAATAGGACATCTGTTGTGCTATCAAAACAAAATTTACCAAAGAAGATTTAATGTGATGATGAAGGTAGGTAGTTTAAACTTTCTAATTTCTAGGGCTTCCACAAACTTTAGGATACGCCCCAAACACGTTTTATAAATAGGCTTAAAAGATGTGTTAACGTCAATCTCATGTCCTGTCTCCATAATATGTTTCACAATAGAAGAGCTAGGTCTCCTGTTCTTACCATTATTGGGTTCTGAAGATGCTGTTTGCTTCTGAAGCCATTTAGGAATATGCTTTGAAGCCAGCCCTTACTTGAAGAGATCGATGAGTCCTCCCTATGTATATCTATGTCCACACGTACATTCAAATTGGTAAATACAGTGGGATGTGACATCATTTTTCGTATGTTCAAAGGGCTTAGATGGATGGATATATTGGCTTCACATTCTCAATTATTATGATATTAGCTGCATGAAAAGTCTTTTTTAACAGCAGTGTTCAATCTTTGTCTAGTTTTTTTTAGAAATTCATTCAATTCCTCCCATTAATAAACTTGAACAAAGCAAGAAAAAACAAACACACACATATATACGCAATCCTATTTTTTGTTTCCAAGCCTAATTGTCCAATTATTCTATCAATAGTCAGTGTTTGTAACTCCTAATCAGTTAAATCATTCCGGACTAATGTTACTCTTAATTCCTACCGATTACTGCTTATGATAGTGGAAAAGTATGTTCATATGTTTTTCTTACTCTAATGACTGTATTGATTGTATAACAGTCAAATGCCGTCCGAAACACTTATCCAAGTTTAAATACGTCTTCATCTCAAACATTTATGTTACTCCTGGCTGTTCTGCCTCGGATCTATCTGATTTTCCTGACCAATTCACTGAATTCGCCGTTACACATCTTGAAAATGAACGAAATATTCCCATACTGAGTCATACAATCGTAATCGATTGTACAGCTCATGAAAATGAATCGTCGAAAAGAAAATTTTCTTCGCTGTTTGTGCCTTTTCTTATGACATCTTGAAAACTCTTTATCAATTGTCACAGGAGATTTTAACTGCTGTGATTGTTCTTTCCTCGTATCATTAGGTCATGCCAATATTGTTAAATTCCCTACTCGACTTGATAAAACTCTGGATCTAGTGTTTATTAATGATGAGGAAATATATGAAGTACGCAGACGTGCTCCTATCATGAACTCAGATCATTGTATTATTCGGATATTACCTAAGATATACAGCAGATCTCACTTTAATATCTTCTCAAATTTGTCCAAGAAGACACAGCAAAGGTGTTACTCACAAGAAAATATGCTCAAACTAAGATGTATGCTAAATGACACTAACTGGGAACTTTTCAACGAACACAAACTGGATGATACTATTTCCAATTTGACTGACTATCTTAAATTCTACCTTGATATATGCTGTCCAAAACAGATAATTTTCAAAAGAATGGATCGTTTTTCTTCCCCTCATCTCAAAAAACTTCGTAGAGAAAAAGAGAAGCTGTACAAGACAAAGAATAAATCTGGTCTTAAGAAGATAAACATCCAAATTAAATCTGAAATCAAGAGACTAAACAACATTTATAATCAAACAATACTGTCTTGTAAAACCTCAGAAAACATATGGAAGCTTTTTAGAGAAATTACTGGTTGTGGTAAGCATAATAATTTTGCTTCTTCTATTGATGTAAATGCTCTCAATAGATCTTTTATCCGCCCTCCAAATGTCCCTTCTGCCTTCAATTTAACTAATAACACGACCAGTGACTTTCATAGTTTCAATACTTCTGATGTTCTTAAATGTTTGAAATCTCTTAAACCTTCCCAGAGTCTAGGCCCTGATGGTATACCTGCCATTGTTCTAAAGAAATGTGCTGATATTTTAAGTAACCCACTTACAAGCATTTTCAATACTTCTTTTTCCAATTATGTTGTACCTTCTCTGTGGAAAGATATTAAAATCATCCCTGTACCCAAGTCTGGTTCTGGAGATAGTGTTAAGTTTAGACCAATTGCCATTACCTCTCCTTTTTTGAAACTGATGGAGAAATTACTGTTACAAAAACTCGTACCCTCCCTAAGCTTCTCAAACGATCCAAAGCAGTTTGCTTACAAACAGGGTAGAAGTACTTTGGATGCTGCTGCTGTGTTTCATCACAACATTGTATCCTCCTTAGACAAAGGGGCCAAGTATGTCCGTTGTACTTTCCTTGATTACACATCTGCTTTTGACTCTGTACCTAGAGGCCTTTTGTTAAACAAGCTTAGCCTTACACAAACTGAGTCCTGGGCTATCAACTGGCTGCACTCTTACTTCTCCAATAGGATGCAGTACACGGTATATAATGGTGTAGCTTCCTCTCCTTTGCTTACTGAAGCTGGTGTTCCTCAGGGTGCTGTTCTCTCGCCGTTTCTCTTTTCCTTCTTCTTACATGACTTACCTCTCTCAGACGAAATCAACTTCGTCAAATATGCAGATGACCTGACTGTTTCGCTTCCCGTTAAGTCTCAGTCAGACTGCTTCAAATTAAATAGCTTCCTGTCGGACATCAGTCAGTGGTCTAAACTAAATGGCCTCATGCTGAATCCCTCAAAATGCCAGACTGTCGACTTCTCCTTTAGGCATAAACGAGATCTACAAACACTAGTAAGCACTCATGATGCCTGTAGCATTGAGGGGACTATAATTGAAACAAAGTCTAATGCAAAATACCTCGGATTAGTTCTATCTTCCGACCTTACTTGGTCATCTCATATCCAAATGATTTCCAAGAAAGTGTTTCGTCTAACCTACTACATTAAGAAACTCAGACTAACTGGAGTCCCTCAACCTCTGCTTTCACAATTTGTCAACTCTCGTATCCTACCTATTCTACTTTACTGCTCCCCGTTAGTCTTTCCTGGGTTACTGAAAAAGGACTATACCATCCTGAGAAGGATGTTGAAGGTAGTTAGTAGGACTAGCGGTGTAAAACTCAGTCAGCTCGTCACTACATTAGTGGATAAGCATCTGAATACATGCGAGAAATGGTCTAAAACCATACTCTCTGACCCCCAACATCCCCTCTATTCCCAACTCTCTCCTTGCATCTCATCAGGTAGAACCAGAAATCAGTACAAAATAATATATGCTCGTACAACCAAGTATAGGAACTCAACGATACCATATTTGGCCCGTGTTCTAAGTGACAGAGACAATGTTGAGCGCGAAACCTATGACTTGCTTTGTTGTTAATAACATAATTTTGGCCCTTTTATCTCTCCCTTATACTCTCTTATTTGTACTCTATAGTGAACAACCTTCTTAAACATACTTAGCTACTTAATATTATTATCATTGGCTTACTTTTTTGTACTTTACTCTATTCCTTCTTTTGTATATCTACTGGGTCCGACTATATTATCACTATGATTATTACAAAACTATCCCGTCATTAACCATCATGTAATATTAATTTTTTTTGGTGTTCTTTGTTCGGCACTATTTAACTGACAATCTTGTTTGTGAACGCCACTATCACCATCTTAAAAATTTTGTATTATGCATGATTACTCACACTACCACTACAAACACTGCATTAGTGCTGACAATAAAAAAACACAACCTGAAATGTTTATTTTATGATTGTTTAGTGTTGTTCAATCAAATTAACTGATCATCTTGGCTATAAACATTCTTAAGAACATCTCATAATTTCTTGTATGATTATAGCTGTCACTGTTCACCACGCATACACATATCATAGCTTCCACTACCCAGTACTGAAATATTTTTTCATCATTGGTGTTTATCTTCCATTCTACTTGGTATTTTTATTTGCATTTTTTCTTTTGTCTTTTGTTATTTCTGTTTCTTTTTTGGCTTTTTACTGTTTTTTTTATATTTACTTATTTTTTGTAATACTCCTTTTAAATGTGCGATGAAATTAGATGCAAAATTGTAGATATGTGCTGAAAATTCCACACTGTACCACAAGAACTGTTTCTGGAATAAAGCGAAATTGTTATGTTATGTTATATCTTTAATGTAATTCATATTTTTACGTTCAGGTTGTAACCATTCGAGAAGAATCCTCGAAATAATAAAAGATGAGCTCATATTTTCCTGGTACAATTGTTGTTCATGGTTTGTTCAACTTTGTCTAGCTATCAAGCTGCTTTGATGCCCTTTATAGGGTAGCTTGATGTGCACGTCTTTCCTAGGGGAGAGTTGAAGAGTGGGTCTTGGTGTTCTGACTACTTGTCTGGATAATTGTCATCAACCAGAGTTTGTGTCAACTTTCTTTCTTCTTTATCAAGTGTGTCTTCAGTGCATATTCGTTGGATTCTACTGAATGTGTAACGTCTTATCCGCTTATTATTATTATTATCACTTTGACTAATGAGAACTTATAACCCCTAGGTAACATGTACGATTAATTTTTTACACCCCTGATTAACGTCTAACTTCTGTTCCTGACTGTAATATATATATATATATATATATATATATATATATATATATATATATATATATATATATATATATATATATATATATATATATATATATAATTACGTAGTGACAATGGCTACCGTCTCCTAACTAACTGACTTAAGCATGTAACTACTTTGTATACTGATGCTGAAACTGTGTCACCCTCTATGCTGTTGACAAAGCCCACCGGAATCAAATGACGTAATATTGTCCTGCTCAGCTTGCTACGCCTGCTTGTTTCAAATTACTGTATAAACATAAACAAATTTTTGTGTATATTTTGATGATAAGGAACTCTGAGTACAAGTGATGTCATATTATTCTGCTTCCGGTATTGTTATTCTCGCTTTCTTGTGTAAGAATATAAAAAGTATAACATTTCCTGACACAACAGTGCAAAAAGTGTTCATTCAAATATTTATCTCTTCTACACGTTGTTCGTCAAAAAAGATTCAACTTACTGTTTGTAACACTTCTATTAGTTTGTTTTGAAGTTTTCCCACACATGTCAAAATTAACTTAAGGTAGTGTTATTTTTCAAAATACGACGTACACAGAATCAGTCCAGAGAAACTTTTCTATTTCAAGTGTCATATATCATTTATTCGGGATATTTAGATAACTTGAGTCATAGCTGAACTGTTTAACAAAATATTAAGTACCTTCGATATAACTTTTAAGTAGTGATGATATGAGTTTCCTTTCTGACTTCAATGATCATTCCATTATCAACAAAGAATCTTGCCTTTGATAACAGATAGAGATAAGTTTAATTTAATTCTACATCAGTGGGAACATCATCACTCACTGGGGAATGCAGGTACATCTAGGTGACGAGTCCCAAACACGACGAAATGTACATCCTGGATTCCACTGCTAGTCACCATCCACCAGTTGATAGAGATAAGTGTTCTTTGGGAGCAAAATCGAGGGGCTTAGTAGTTGTGAGGTGTATTCAGACATTTGAAAACATATAGTAGTATAAAACGATAACATGTTAATGGTAATTTACTCCATCGGAAGGTAAAAAATCATTGCAGCAGTGAAAATTCACTTCAATTTCGATAAAAGATTAGTTTACTGGTTATACGCCCATTACGCTGTTTACAGTGGCTTTTCTGAGGGCTCTTTAATCCTTCTAACTACATAAAAAAATGTAATATGACTACTGATAGAAGGCTAACAAACCATTTGATAAGAAAGTGTTAAGAAACAGTGAGCACACTGTTCGTGTTTATCTGTAGCTTTCGCATAACATATTATAGTAATGTAAATGGTAAATGATAGTTTCAATTGATTACTGTTGAAAGAATGTTAGCTAAGACGGTCATATCCATTAAAAAACGGAATGGATTCGAACCAGATGAAAGTCATTATGCCTAGGAAAATTAATCAACCGTATTTAAAATAACTGGCTGTCATTATGCTAAATAAAGTAGTAGACATAACTGTTAGTCCAAAGCGCTGCAAATTTTATCCAATAATCCTAATTCAAACAATAAAAACCAGTTATTAGTGTAAATGTAGAATTTGCTCACTATGGTAGAATATGATTTCATGTATCGGGTCCTAGTGGCTCAATGGTCTACGAGCTCGCCTTGTAACCAGAAGGTCCTGGGATTGAACCTCGTTGGGTGCGTACTGAGAAAGAGCCCCAAACTAGGACGAAACAGCTGTCCAGTGCTCCCAGGTATTCCAATGGTTCTCTAACTGATGTCAGCTCATGAATAAATCCTCCATGAAATCGAACAAAATCCCTACAAAACCAATACCTGAAAATTAGATAAATTTATTTGATATTCAAGTGTTGATACAACATACAATGATACAGCATTATAAATGACTAAATGACATCTCCAGAACAGTTCATTATTCATAATCATATCAATTTATTCACGCAAATTGCTAATCTGCGTCAAACGACCATACTCTCTCCTGGTTTCGTGGCAGTTTTCGGCATATTGTGAATACCTGTTGTATCATTCCGATTACACGTGTTTAATGCTAGTTCAATGAACAAAGATTCAGTGATTAACATCTTAAGCCACCTAACTATGTCACTCTTTAATACTTTCAGCCCATTACGAATTATTGTGCAGGTAAACTCAAAAGAAATCCACAGAAATGGCTCAGGTTTTTTCCACATAATATCTACACAATTCATTCCTGGAGAAAATAAACTGTCTATCTCCCAGAATCCAGTTCACTTCGGAAGCAGAATCAGACGTCGATGAACTACCATTTCTAGACTGCCTAGTTAAGAGAAAGGAAAACGGACATTTTAGTATATCCATATTTAGGAAGAAAACCCAATCCAATTAATATTTAGACTTCAAATCGTTACACCCCATCAGTGCAAAGATTTCAGTTGTTTCAAGTCTTCTTAGACGAGCACACTCTCTGATAACGGATGAGAAAGCAAAAGAAGAAGAAGAAGAAGTATCAAACATTACTGAAACTCTCAAGCAAAACAACTACCCAAGGAACTTCATCAACAAAATCAACACAGGCCGATAAATGCATTCCGGAAACATGGACCTCAACAGTCGTCATTCCATATAGAGTAGAGACGTCAGACGATATCAGAGGAGTACTCAATCAACTCGACATTAGAGTTTTCTTCAAAACGTCAGACACACTACGAAACAACCTTGTCCATATAGAAGATCAAATCCCAAAAGATTCTCTCTAATTGTATCTATAAAATAAAATGCATGGAATGTGATGCGATATACATCGGACAAACCTCATCAGAGAGAAATCAAAATCAGAAGAAATGAACACCGTAGAGCATCTCTTCGACCAACGAGAAATCCAGTTGAACTGCAAAAGCTTGACAAATCATCAGCCATAGGTCTACACGCTATAGAATCAGGCCACAAAATTGATTTTGACAATATTGAAATAATCCAGAAAAACTTCAGAAATCACAAAGAACGTCTAATATCAGAAGCACTCCATATCAAGTGGAATTCAGATTGTGCAAATAGGAATGATGGACTAAAACAGAATCTGACCTGGTTACAACACCTCCCTCCCCTCCCCAACGAAGTGACAAAATCAACACGAATGTGATAAGCAAGTTCGCTATGTAAACACACACTACTTTTATAATATCACACACTGATCAAATCCAACAATCTACACTTGGTTTTGTTATCTTTACCAATTGACCAACTTGACAACGAAAGATGACCCCAGACTAACGAACGATGATCAAGTTAGTAAACTTTGTTTTGATATCATAACAGATGTACTATTACCTTTGTTATTTGGTTTAGTGATCTTCATTGTTATTTTGACTTTCAATATGCCCTTTTAAGTTGACCTAAGTCTATTTTCTCACCCCTGAACGCTTTGTTATATATATGCTGAGATTTTGTAAATTCCGGTTTAATAATACTTAGATAACGCTATTAATATTAAATAGCGAGACGTCAGTAAAAACAATATCGTTTTGTCTTTCATTCATTGGGAAATACAAAACCTTTATATAGTGAATATCATATACCCAATACCCAAATTTTTTCAAACTGTTAAAGGTGAACTTGGTTTGGACATATATAGCATAATATAACTTAGCCGGTTCAGCTATTCCAGATCTAGCCAAATGTCTGTGTTCGGGGATAAATAACAAAGAATTAAAAGTTTTTTGTATTACTATCACGTGCAGAAGGAACGTGTCACTTCATACTATATCAAATAAATTTATCTGATATGGAAGGAAAATTGATTACCCCCTTCTCTTTGCATTAATATTTCAACTATCTTTTTGTCATTTCCTTTTTAACTAAATTAGATAGTTGATAGAAGCTGTGTTAATTCTTTTCTGTGGAAATTCA